ATTTTTCCAAAATTTCAAATGGCACCCCCCGAGACACCCCCTCTAAACTCTGGGTTGCCAAAACTACAAATTTTCTACTGATACAAAGAAAACCACATATTCCATCAGAAAATTTCAGAGAAAAACCAGTCGAAACGCCAATTTGTAAAAAAAAAACTTATTTTCGGAATCTAAGTGTGCCATGAGTGGTAAAACGAGTAAGGAGCAGAAGATAATGAATTGCAAGTTCTTGGGGCAGCTGTTGACAATCGTCATATTATTGTGCGTGAAATTAGTACTCCCAGTAGTTATAAATTTATCAAACACGTGTAGATTTGTATTCTGCCAGGATATCTCTCGGCGTAGTCTTGTGACGCCAACAAACAATACAATTCCAGTAACAGTCTCTAAGAATAAATACTATATCAACCTTTTCTGCTTGAGTTTGAGACATTTTTGCAACGTTGATTAAAGACAATCATACACTGCCGATACTTTACTGTTAATTGAGAAAATTGAACCTCTTTAGTTTCATCATGGCACACTTAGCTTTGGAAAATTAGGTTTTTTTACAAATTAACGTTTCGACTGGTTTTTCTCTGAAATTTTCTTATGGAATGTGTGGTTTTCTTTGTATCAGTAGAAAATTTGTAGTTTTGGCTACCCAGAGGTATAATTTGTTTACGGGGGTGCCATTTGAAATTTTTGAAAAATATGACTTTTGGCGAAGGTCAATCAAAAATTAAATTTTTTTTTATGAAGTACCTAAAAAAAATTGTGACTATGAAAGAGGTCTTAACCTGTGCCTCAATTCAAAAATTAGCCGTCTGCGCGATTTAGTTTCTCTAAAAAAATTTCGAAGAACTGTCAAATTTTGACGAAAAAAGGTTATAACAGTAAAATCGTTAAAGTTAGGGGTATAATATGTTATACAAAAAATAAGTATTTTTCTAGTACATTCCAAATCAGTAATAAAATATGGGGCGTTCTATTAAAAAAATGCAAGTTTGATACGCCACTGGAATACAGCACGCCCCTGGTAATCAAAAATATTTTAGAAATATGGTAACGGTAATTGTGTACAATTTTGCTATAAGACTTTTTTTGGTATCTTTATGGTAAAGGAATTATGATCCGATGGATCTTAGGTGCTACACCCTGCGTATCATTGTAGGTATAACCCATTCATCAGTATTTTCCTGCAGTAACCCTTTTAACTTGCGAAATATAGCCAGCCATTTTAATGTGCATATTCAGAATTTTTCCCTCCTGACAAATACTGGGTAGGTAATGTAACGGAAGTTACAATATAGGGCTGCAAATGTGGCATCATAATATTGTGACGTAAATTAAAGTACGTGGTCTTATTCATTTATAATTAACTAACAATCTTAAATGGATTAACTTATAACAGGCAGTAATTATTATTTATCACTTACAATTTATTGCATCGAAGATGGAACTGACTGAAATACGTTACAATTTGCTTATAAACTAAACGAAAATAATTCTAGAATGTTCTTAGAACGCTTAGGAATGTTCTATATAAACAACTCATTTTTCCCGGAAGGATTGCGCCATATCCGCCCTCGCTCTTTATCGCAGATAACAAATTTTAATCTTTCATGGCGCCTCGATGTCTATCGGGATTTCTGGAGTATTCGCTACACTGCTCCTCTCTTAAAACTGTTGCGTCGCGCAACACGGACGACGGCTGTAGCGCAAACACAGTCCCAGGCAACTCTTGTTCTCTACACGCGAACTTCATGGTCCCTGCGTGCTCGCCTTCGTGCATCTTCCCTTCTTAAATTATTAAAGAAGCAACCCCCGGCTTACGAAACTGTTGCGGGATCTCCTCTGGGGTTGAAACAACAGACCTCTCAAAACCAGTTCCATTAATCTTTCAAACGTCGCGGAGGCGTTACTCAAGCCAAAGGGCATAACCGTAAATTGCCATAGACCCGACCCTATGCTAAAGGTTGTCTTCTCGCGATGTTCATTATCCAAACCAACATACCAGTAGGCGATGTTTATATCTAAAATCACTTCTTAGCACACGTAAGCGTATCCAGCGTGTCATTGATGCGGTACAATGAACAACTCTCCTTCTTTGTTACGTTATTCAGTTGCCTATGCCGTATACTATGATCTACGCAAAACTTCGTGCTGCCATCTTTCTTCTTCACTAGCACCACAGATAACGTCCAAGGGCAAGGGTTCCATTATGCCTTGACTAGCTATGTCGCTGATGATCTCAGCTTTTTCGCGTTTAACCCATAGTTGCTTAATAAGTTGGGCATCTCCCGTATTTATTTTGTGTTACCATATTGCTTCGCCGGTCCTTTCTCTTTCTCCGAAGCAAACATATATCTTGGTAGCAACATTTTAACCTAAAGCCCTCCAAAAATGAATATAAGCTTTATTGGAACATCTGGTGTCAAAAATGGTACTATGATTTTATAAGTGGCCACTTTTCTCTTATCTAAGTTAAGAACCACTTAAAATACTTAAATGAACAATGAAGAAAATAGGGAATATCTCCTTTTTACAAACAGATCGAAGTCTTAAAAATGTATGTTGAACTCAGTTAGAAGACTTCCGAGACTCAGTATTGAATTTAAATAGAAAACTTTTACCTTTTTCTGGCGTTTGCAACATTATTTCGTGGTATTTGGTGTCCTAGGTCTCTTACTTCCTCCATCCTTTCATCCTCCCACTTTCATTCTATCACTCTGTTCGTACCTTCTCCTTTCTAAATCTCATCATCTTCCATTTTTCGACATTTAATTCTATTCTTTTTCATTCCCAGTATCTCTCTATTGTTCTCATGATTTTCTTCATCCCTTTTTCTTCTGTTGCCAATAATACTGTCCTCCGCTTAAGCCAGGAACCATATCTTCCTTCGTCCCATCACGATTTCTTTACTTTGACCCTGTTTTTTCCATATCCCTTAGGTAGAGATTAAGTAAGGTGGGTATCCCTGTCTCAATCCTTTTATTGTCTAGAACACTTCTGACTCCTTCTCTCCTATCCTTACCCAGCTTCTTGTTCTCTCCATATAACTCCTTAATTCTGTTGTTTAATTTTTTGTCTATTTTTCCACCCTCCATCATTTCCCATACTTTCTATACGCCGTCGTGATTCTCCTATAATTTTCCATACAATTTGTGTCCTCTTTTGCACCATTACCATTTCCTCCCGTTCTTCCATATCTCGTTTATTAGTTTCCTCAGCTTCTCCTTAATAGTATCTGTAGCAAAAATCCATGCCTCATTTCTTATTTCGTCCCTCCCTGTCTCCTTCCTTTTCTTCAGTCTCTTTAATTGTTGCTCCATCTCTTCTATCTCGCCTCCTTTCTTCCCTCATCCTCTAACCCACACACTTTTTCCTACTTACCTTGTAGTACCTTCATAAACAGCTGCTTCAGATCCTTTATTTGTATGTGTTTCTCCCCCACTATATGTGTTTTTCCCTTTTCTCTGTTTATCATCTTTTAAAAGTTCACCTCTGTAATTTATTTCCTTGATTTCTTCTTCATATGATGTTTCTTCATCTTTTTTCCTTACATATTCTTTTGTACCATTTCTTCTATTCTCTCACCTCCTCCTCTATGTATTGGTTTCTTTCTCTCTCCATCATGTTCTTTATCGGTTTCTCTGTTTCACCACTCCTTTCTTTTATCTCTCGTTTATTCTTCTTTCACCCGTTATCGCCTCTTTAATATTCTTCTTTATATTTTTCCACTCCTCTGTGCTATCTCCTATTTCATATACTTGCTCCTCTAGTCTCCTTCTATTCATTCACCGCCGTGTCTCTTGTCCCTAATTATATCTCCATTCGTCTTTGAATCTTTCCATCGATTGGTGATCCGATCCTTCCCTTGTTCCTACCTTAACATTTTCTATCGCTTTCCGTTTACTCGTATGTAATCAATTTACCGACCTCTCTCTCCCTGTGTATTTCCTATCCTTATCTTCCTCCATGTTTTCGTTTCTACTTCTTCCCTCTTCTTACTATTCTCAGTCATCCTAATATAGGTATTTTAGATGCACATTTAACACTCCCCCCCCCCCCCCCCCCCCC